GCCGCTGCCACTCAGTGTCACACTGGATCGGCCACACTCCAATCCGTTTGCTAATGGGACCATGCCCCTGGGGTGTGGTCCCATTAGCAGTCCGATAGAAGCGTGGCCGATCCAGTGTGACACTAGGTGGTAGCGGCCAGACAGGTTTATTACGAATTTCTGGGCTGAGAAAACAGGAAAAAGACCACAAAAAAAAAGAAACGGAGACCTCCCACCGGAAGTCACCGCAGAGTGCTTCCCAGCCATCAGATCACAAATGATCTGATGGTGGTGGTTGCAAAAACAGTGAACAAAGTAACCGCCAGACTTTCGACAGCAGTGATCCTGACACCCTCCATATACCTTGTGATTGAAGGAGGGCTTCACCCAATGAGATAATTGCACAACAACAAGTAAAATGTTGTTTGGTCGAAGTTGCCCTCAATACTGGTAGGGTGATCACCCGGTGATGGTCCTGAGTGCTGGTCACACTGAGGTAAGATAGTAGGGAAAGGGGGTGTGCTGGGAGTATTAACGTGGGGATGGGTAGGGTAGGTGGCCTATCCCAACAGGACAGCCATTATAAATATTTTTATGTTCGTGTTCGGAGAGTTTCGGCGCTCGTTCGCGTTCGGTCCCGAACGTTCAGGTTCGGTCACCAAACCCGAACAGAGTGTACCCTTTCATAACTTTCACTTTCCCCGTTATATAACTAATCACCACTCTCAGCTTCTCTCATTGCATCGGTCTCGCAGATTCCTCAATTACACCCCTCTGCACTGAGTGTGCAGAGTATACTCTCGATACGATTTCCTAAAGATCTTAACCCCTGTGTATGGGGGTGCGTTTTTATATTTGTGGGAAAGTTGGGAGCGGTGTGGAGAGGGGTTGAGGCTACAGTATAGGGAAATTGACTTTGACTGAGGGTTGGTGCGACCCGGATATACGAAGACGGACCGCCATGGAGGGAGGTTTATGATAAGGTTGCGGGATCCAAAAAGTGAGGAGGAGATTTTTTTGGGTTGGTTGCCTGAGATGCTGGTTACTGTGTGTCCTATGAATGGAGAATAGGCGAAATTCAACGTCGTTGAACCCGTTCAACGGGCCTGGGGGCCCCCATTAAATCGCGTTTAACGCAAAAACGGGGGTGTTCCGTTGAATTTTTAAAAACGGAACCGGCACGTTGGGCCTCGGACACGTGGCCCTACGCGCCCAAACACTAAAAACAAGAAAAAGAAGAAAAACAAATTGACCCCTACTAACAGGGTGAGGTGGCCAAACATGCCCCTCCCTCCCGAAATTCGAACTGCAAGAGAGAAAAAAAGTAAGGGTCACCCCATACCCCAAGACTGTGAGCACATGTATGTGCATGTGGGTGCATTTCCTTTTTTTTTTTTTTTTTTTTACAAATGCTGCAATCAAGTCGTCCAGTCTCATTTCCGAAGGGTCCCTACGGATTAGCAAGGACCCTTCATGGAGCAGAGACTTGGAGAATGCCTTTGTGGCCCGAGAATATATAGTTTGGATTCGAATTCAGGTCTGTGGCAGTCTGTGCATCTTAGTTATGGGTCACAAATTCTCTGTTTTCTCGTTTTTTTTTTTTCCTCTTCTTTCTGTTGTTTTCCCGTTTTTCTTTTGTTTTCTCATTTTTCTTCTGTTTTTTCTCGTTTTTCTTTTTTTAGGAATACGTGCAGTGGCCCTAAGGGCTTCCACTCACCACATGCACAAAAGACAAAACATATGGCTGTGTATTATTCCACGTTCTAGCAGAAGATCCTTTTTTTTTTTTTTTTTTTTTTTTTTTTTAAGTCCAGGGTGTTGTAGAGGCCAAGGACCAGACCCGTGGTGATTTCTCCAAAAAATCTGAAAACAATATATGTTATATAAAATAATAATACAAACAATTTTGCCCGGAAGGTATGCTCAAATTCGTAACCAAACTCGAGTTAAAAATTAAAATCCAATTTTTTATTTTTATTTTTTTATTTTTTTTTGCAATATGTTCGGCCGAACACGTTCGGGAGGCGTTCAGCTGAACACCCGAACATGTTCGGATGTTCAGAAAAGCTGCGAACATGTTCGGGAACTACACAGCTTAACCCTACTACTCTGACAATGATCACCTTCTCAATCCCTACCTAGCAGTCGAAAGCAGCCACTCAAGCAGTTCACCACAACATCAATTGTTGACGGGGAAACCATTGGAAGCCCTTCAGCGTCAAAAGTTCGGCATTGACTCTCAATTTCAACAAGCCACTGAGTACTTATGAAGCACAGTATATCAAAGTCAGAGCAAGTCATGCAACTTCTCTCAACTTCGTTGCGATCAAGCCATTCGTTCAAAGCAAGAAACATCTTCTTCATTTTCCAGCCCCAAACTCACTGATTATCACACTAAGACCAACATAGTATCTTCCTTCAACCATGAGAGTCGCTCGCTTCTACCTCCAGCTGCTATCACTCATTCGCTTGCTCCACTATTCCCTGCAAGACGACGCAGTCACTTGCGGGATGATGGAGGGATTTGGGACAGTCTAGCAGGTGTGCGGGCCTGCAACCCACCTTTTTTACTCACTCCTATGAGATCTGGAATCATCTTCGGCCTCTTCTTTTCCTATTTTATTTGGAATGGTCCTGGGCAGCATTGTGCCAACGACAGCAACCGCAATTGGAAGCAGTTTCAACAACCCAGTTCCTTCAGAGCGGTTATCGTGGGTTGGTACATCAGATGGTACTAGTTCTTGACAGACGAAATCGGAATCTCAATCGCAACCATTCACGGACATCATCAATGACCTCGCTACGAAACAACTACAACCATCACGACAAGTTCCAAACATCCACGACAGACAAAGCAACCACCTGAATCAACGGAGGACTATCACCTGAAGCAATGGAGGACCAACAGGCGATGTGACACTCACCCAGGCTGAAAAACCGCCTCGCCAGGCCCACCAGTACCACTGCCTTGGCCGGTGACAGTATAAGCCACAGGGGCCTGGCCTGTGGCGAGAACTTGTGAAGTTTACCGAGTAGCGTCGTCCAGCAGTGCCGGACCTGTGAACGTGACCGGCCGTTCATTTGGTGTTTTTTTTGTGAACGGCCGTTCACTATGAACGGGCCGGCCACAAAAGAGTGGTGTTCTTTTTTGTTTTCGGGGGGGGGCTCATTCAGGTACTGTCGCCTCAAGCCCCACATCGTGATGATTTTTTTTTTTTTTTTTAATTATCAGGAATTACCCTCCGATGTCCCCCCCCCTCCTATAAATTAAAAAAAAAACATCACCCCCCGGCCTAAAAAAAAAAAAAAACGATCCGCTCTCTGTGAACTCCATGAACTCCCATGTCGTGAACTCCATGACCGGTTTCCGTCCACAGACCCCGTGAACGGTGAACGGAGGTATGGCACTGCCATCCAGTCCACGCCCGCTCGCAGCACTCATTGCATGTGCAAACCTGTGCAGAAACACAAGGGTTAGGTCCTACGGAGTTTGAGTCGCTCTCCTTGCCTTTTTGGCGAAGCGGACCTGCCCACCCTCGATTTTCCCACAGTGTGCGGGCCTGCGGCCCACCTTCTCGACTCACTCCTATGAGATCTGGCATCATCTTCGGCCTCTTCTTTTCCTATTTTATTTGGAATGGTCCTGGGTAATCATCATTGAACTGACCGGCCCCACGTAATTCACAATGATTTAGTTCTGGTCGTCTGATTGTATCTGGATTCGAACTCTAGTCTGATTGTATCAGTTCGTTGGTGTACCAATTGAGCTAAGCCCATTGGTAGCAGTTCCGCTGCTGTTTGCGCCTTTTACTGGACCTTCTTCTCACCCTCGATGCAATCTTTCATGGTGGATTCCCCCCGCCTGGCATTCTTACCAGAGTTGTACCCTTCAAATGCATCTCGACTCAATTTTGAAATGTTGGTGGATGGCGAGTAGTGCAAATACCAGTAGGCCCCAAGTCTTAAGTCCCGCCTGCGGGACTTTACAGCCTCTGAGGTCGGGCCGTCGCCCTCTGAGGAAGAAATAACAAGGAAAGATGTTATCTCCCGCTCTCTCCCCTTCTTTCTTTTTTCCTATGTGAAGGTTTCTTTCTTGGGAAAAGTTTTGAAATGCCCCTCCAACTTCCATTTATTCGTAGGATGCCCCTCTGACAGCCGACGTACCCTGTCGCGCTCCTCTGACGGCCGGCCAGTGTACCCTGTCGTGCCCCTCTGACGGCCGGCGTACCCTGGTGCGCCCCTTTGACAGCAATTGGAGTTTCCCAAGAACCCCTGGCGTCCTTTGGGCCTGAAATATGTTCTATATGCCCCTACCGGTACTGGTTCCAAATATCCAGCATGCCCCGGTAGCACGCCACCCATGGCCAGGGGAAAGGCCGTGAGTGCTACCAACGGCCACAGGGGCATCCTGGAAAGGCGCACCCCTCAGTGACAGGGGCCTGCACGAAACTACAGAGGCCCCAGGGGCACGACAGGGTAAGTCGGCCGTTGGAGGGGCATACAGCAAATAAATGGAAGTCGGAGGGGCACTTATGCAAATCAACGAACGAGTCCCAGTGCCCAAGGCCAAAAAGAAAAGACAATGAATCACGAAGTTCCAGTCAGGGGCGGGCCAAGTCTCCAGTCTACTCAAACGTCGCCCCTTTTCAAAAGTAAAAAGAAAAAAGTAGTCAAACAACAAAAAGAACCGCATGCCCTCCTCAAGAGCGGCTGTTGTTTCTGGAGGATTCCAGGGGTCAGGTCCCACTAGCAAAGAGGGTTGTATCAACCCCCTGAATGTGGACGTGTTCCAGAGGGGCATGCAGAAAAGCAGAGGATCGTGCAGTGTTTTGTGCCCGATCACATTCGGGCATTACCACCAACCCTGTTTCGTATCGTAGTGGGACCTTGCCCCCGAGCTCCTGGCAAAGAGCGTCGCTAACAAGTCGTATATATTCGCGGACTCCACTGTATTCAGTACGAGTTCAGAGATTCTTTCTGTGATTAGTCCGCCTACTGATAATTCCGATGCGTCTGTCACAGGGCGCCACTACCGATTGTAGGCATCACTGCCTCTTGCACTAGTCCAGCGGGCGCCATATCCGTAGTTTCTTGAGCGCACGAGCAGGGATCGCCTAGTGTTGTCGGCGCCATTGGTCCGCTGCGGTGGAACGCGGTTCGCGCGCTGAATGCGGAGCAGTTCCGCTGCGAGGTTGTGCGCTCCAGTGTGAGTCTAATGCCAGATTCCGCGCAAGGGTTGACTTTGGCGTTGACTTTCATGATCTTCGGGACTGAGGGTTGTCGTCGTGACTCCCGGAGACCGTCTTGGATCTTGGAGTTGTCGGGATTCTAGCGCGTGTGTTTGGTTTAAACTCTGGAGGTTGGCTCAGGCCGGGCTGTTGGGTATCGGAGTCCGACGGCGGTCTTCACTTTTGGTCAATTGCGCGTCAGGTTTGACTCTCGGGTTGACTCTCATCCACAGCTTTCAGGATACGAGTTTGACTTGAGGTTTCTGTGGACGAGTTCGACTTCGATCACGTATTTGTGTTGACGTCACTAACGTGGCATTGGAGTTGAGTTGATACCCGAGTTCGCCTTTGGTCAAGTTTGAGGCGGACACAATTTTGACGAGGTGTAGTTGCGTGAGGAGAGGAGTGGGGGAGGGGGGGGGAGGAGAGACGGGGGGGGGGGGGGGGGGGGGGGGGGGGGGTGACGAATCCGTAGAAGGGCGTTTGCTTTATGAGTGACAAGCAGAGGACGGGTGAGAAAGCGGGGCGGGAAGGAGGAGGGGGTCCTCCACCCGATCCCGAGCCTGATCGGGATATCTTTGTCGTTTTGTTGGCGCTCAGAACCGCTACGAAGATGGCCTCAATGATGCTCAATGCTGCACAGAAGGGCCAGGAGATGGTCGAGGGAGCGTCGAGGTATGTCTCGATGACTATAGAGAGCATTATGCCTGATCCCTTCAGCAGATGGTTGACTCGATTTCGGCAGATGACTTATTTTCAATGGTTCCTGCTTGCTGTGATGGGCCTGTTTTTGGCGGTAATTACCCCCCCCGCTTTGATCTTGTTAGGCTTGTTTTCCGCGGTGGCTCTGCCGGTGACTGCCGTCACTTCCCCCTTTTGGGGCCCTGTGGCTGTGGTGCTGTTGGCGCTCACTTTCCCTCTCTGGAGTCCTGCTTTGGCGGGATTGGCTGTCTTTCAGTGGACGAAGGAGCGATTGACCAAGCTGGAGGGTCACCTGCCTAAGCCCGCGAGAGGGGTGATCGGCTGGTTCAGAGGCATGAGTCGGATGAAGCAGGGGTTGGCGCTCTTCGCCCTGGCCGCTGCCACCGTCCTCGGCATCGGCGCGCTCCTGGTTGTCGGGACCCCCGTCGTCGTTATTGGCGGGGGGCTGCTGCTCTTTTTCTCGCCTGTCATTCTGTTGACGGCACCGCTGTGGATTCCGGTCGTGCTCTTCTTCCTCGCCGTCGCCGCAGTGGTGTTGGGCGGCGGCGGCTTCCTCCTGGCCATGGCGGTGAGCGCCTACTGGCTTTATCGGTATTACCGAGGGCCGATGCCGCTTGGGGGAGAGTCGGTCTACAAGTTGCAACGTAAGATGGGGGGGATGCTGGACCGCACTAGGCAGACGATCACGGGGAAGGCCGTTTAAGTTTTCCCAGACTGTTCGGCAGAAGACAGGGTAATGCGGGCTGGCATGCATGAAATAGGCGGGGTTGTGTTTCGGGACGGGAGAATTACTGCGGCGCTGCACAGTGATATTCTGACCAGGAGGGTCGAAGGGTCTAATAAAGGGGGGGTGTTGCTTAGGGGTCAATGCGAAAGGAGTAATGTCAAAGATGGAGAGAATTTGACAGGGGTTGACGAAGTTTAAAGGGGGGTTTGCCGCAGTGCGGCTGGACTCAACCGTCGCTGTGGGGTTGGCAGCCCCTGCATCAGATCCTGCTGACTTGTATCGTCGTACACGTAACTCACCGACGCAGATGACAAATCGACCGACGCACGTGAGTCACCGACGCAGATGACAAATCGACCTACGCACGTAACGACCGACGCAGATGACAAAACGACCGACGCAGATGACAAAACGACCGACGCAGATGACAAATGGACCGACTCAGATGACAAATCGACCGACGCAGATGACAAATCGACCGCCGCAGATGACAAACGGACAGTGACCGTAGACGGTCGATTTTTTAGGGTGGGGGAAAAAAATGGCTCTACAGCCTCTTCAGTCTAGACTGGGTAGGGATTTGTGGTGGAGCGTGAAATTGCCGTGAATCTTGATTTAATGCCCGCATGGTAGCGTCCGTACGTTTGACGCTCAAAGTCAGTCTGCGTCAAAGTCAGTCTGCGATTAAGTCAGTCTGGTGTTAATCTTACCGGTGGTTCATTGGTTCATAGTTGGTCAAGCAGTGTGGTCAACCGTGGAGAGCGTGAATGTTGACGTTGATGGCAGCATGCTTATCACGTCTTCTTAGACGTTTTAACTGTGAATCTTCCTTGACGTTTAACTAGAGTTAATCTGACGGGCGGGTTTTTAGTTCGGTAAATTCAGTGTTGTTAGCCGTGGCGCTGTTTTACGGGTATAGTGAGTCACACCTATCGCAGTAAAGTTCTGCTAGCTATGCAGCTCAGTGAAAATGAATTACCATCAGGTGACGGTGTAGGTTAGCCAAGTTTCAGTGAGTAAGACTGAAGTGTTCGAAGCTCGGTGAAAAGAGGATTATCACCCGGTAGCGGTTTAGTTTTACTGTACAACGCATTGCGAAACGTAACGGTATAAGTGCGGTGAGTTTGTTGGTAAGGGCCTCACCGGTCATCGAAGTAACTGGGGTAGAGAGCATTCCACGTGACGGTCGGGCTTGTTGGTGCGGAGAGAATTTGATTAATCGACTTCTCCTTGATGAGGAGATTGAGAAACGTGCGATCGTAGAAGTCGTGCCTATTGCATGAAACTTGCTAAGAGTGCCGACGGTGGAGGAGAGGGATGTTGCTGTGCAAAAAGTACCCGTGCATGAATCTTGACGGAAATGCCGGCGATGGAGGAGATGGATATTGCTGTACAAAATGTACTCGTGCATGAATCTTGACGGAAATGCCGRCGATGGAGGAGATGGATGTTGCTGTACAAAATGTACCCGTGCATGAATCTTGACGGAAATGCCGGCGATGGAGGAGATGGATGTTGYTGTAGAAAATGTACCCGTTGCGTTTTGGACGGGTGTGTGTTACAACTATGGCGGCTTTAGAGGCTGACGAGGGATGATCGCCGGGCTTCAACAATATAGAGGGGTGCTCGAAGAAGCAAAAATAGTGATTAGAAAGGGGTCTTTTAAGTCGGAATCGTCGGAGATGTAAGTGGCTAATAGCTACTGGCTGTTAATAATAAAAAAGTTGCTTCATTCCTAATGCGGAAATTCTTGACTTCAATAAGTAATTTGTTGTTGCGTCTCTCTGGGAAGTTCCGGGAAATGAAAGATGGTATCACTTTGCGGGAGTAGTATAGTCAGTGGTGCTTCTGGCGAGTTTACATCGGTCAGTCGTGCTTCTGGTGCACTGAGTTCACATCTGATTCGTGGACAATCGGGCCGTTAAAGAAATAAATAAAAGAGTTTCGATTGAAAGGGGTCTCTGATGACAAAGAGGCGGAGACGAACTGACGAGAAAAGTTGCACACATGTCTTTATGGACTGTTTTTTTCCCCCCTTTTTTTTTCACTTCTGAAGATTGTTGTTTTTGCAGTTTGCAGGACGATCTGTTGTGTGCAGTTCGAAAGCATGCTGTTGTGGAGGTGGTGGAATCACGTATGATGGTCCTCTTTTTTCTTTTTGTTGGAATTATGGTGTGACATACTGCAACTGATAGAAGTTCGGGACTAAGGTAAATAATGATGCGGTAAATTCCCCCCCCAAAAAAAATAATAAGTAAATAAGTAAAATGATGCGGTTAATATGACTTGATAGTGATAATGATGCGGTAAATTCCCCCCCCCCAAAAAATAATAAATTAATAAGTAAAATGATGCGGTTAATACAACTTAATAGTGATGCGGCAAACCGTTCTCCTCCTTCGTAGTGAAAATCAAGTGGATTATTTGCGCAGATGGTATGTATGTTTGTTTAGTGAAATTTAGAGAAGAGAATTTTTTACAGCGATTAGTACCAGGGGATGAGTTCCCGCTGCCAAGCACACGATGTTTTGACGGCCAAATTGAATCAGATGTGTTTGTGGAGAATCTGACCGTGTTTTTGGAGAGGTGCAGAAAGAAAATCTGGACGTGTTTGTGTCTGAGGGAGATTTATGTGATTGTGCATCGTAGAATAGAACACATCCAGGTTCACTGAAGAAAAAGTACCGTAATCCGAAAACCTAACGAAAAACAAATAGACCTAAAAAATAGGGACCCTAAAGCCAGTAGAAAGTAAAATCCCTAAAATCCGAAAAACTAACAAAAACAGAAGAAACTAAAAGATGACGAACAAAAGTACTACAAACGAAAATTCCGAAATAGCGCCAAAGCGTGTAGAACAGGGTCAATAAAGACGACAGAAAACTGCCAAAACCAGAAAGCGTACGATTGAAAAGGAAAGCAACACAACAAAAGAAAGGAAAACGAACCGCCGCCGAGGATTCCAAGAAACGTACCGCGACCAAGGATTGCCTCAAAAGCACTGGAAACGTACCACAACCAAGGATTTCCTCGAAAGCACCAAAACCAAACATACTACTCGTGAAAAAATAACAACCCTGACCCAATTCGTCACGACAGAAAACAACAAAGAACGCCACAAACGAAACAAGAACCTACCGTGCTACCTACCATCAAAAGCTTCTCGCCAGCATCCCACATTTAAAAACGTTGGCACGTAGTCTAAGTCATTACTCTGTACAGTCAGATAGCTCCAAAGTCGTTACTCTGTACAGTCAGATAGCTCCAACACCGCTAGAGCACAAGAACGCTGTCGTCAAAAGTGCCAACCGACTCACACCACAAGCCCGCTCTCTTTCAAGATAGAGAACAGGGGCCGTGTTTTAGGCCCAGGGTGGGATTGGACTGCTCTCTGTGCGAGACGGAATGGTTTTTCGTGAGCAAGGAATGGTTACTAATAAAAGAGGCCGCAGTTGCCTGATGGGAGGATCTACCAGTAAGCTGGATGGTTAGTGGATTGTGAAAAGCCCGTTGTTTGATTTTGTATTTGAAGATAGCTGGACGGTGTCCCTTGCCCTTCTGGTATATTCAAGTTAACGCCCAAGGGCAAAGGAGGTAGCTTTGTCTAAATTTCCAAAATTGTTTCTGAGCTTTAAGGATTTTAATTTTGGGAAGCTTTTTTGTAGTTGGGACGCTGGACCCGGTTTCCAGTTGTCGAGCAGGAAGTGTATTTGGCTAGAGAGACACAGATTATCGAGCTTGCTCGAAAGCGAAACTGGCTGATGCTGCCAGGATGACTCCGGGTAGAATTGTGAGGTCCCCGGCCTCGTCCCAATGGTTTTTCTTTGCAATAAAATTTGTCAATGCTTTTCCAAAAAAAAAAAAAAAAAGATGGAGAACAGCTCTCCCGTCATACCAAAACCGTTTCCGCACAGGCCCACTCTCTTTCACACGGAGAACTAGCCCGCCCGTCACCCAAACCACTTCCACTCCCGAGTCACAGACACAACTACCCGCTGTCTTTCAAATAGAGAACAGGCGCTCAACAGACAAGTATTCAAGAGCAGAAAAGACGGTGGACGATGATGACGTCATGCTACCACTTGTCCTGAAGCACTAGCGAAAAAGTTGAAGCTGGCAGATCTCCCAAAGCACGCTCCAGGAATTGAGTCTGACAATCTCACAACGCACACTCCATATACAATCTCCAAATCACCTGGCGTTGTACTCTTTTGTATGGAGGTTGTACTCCGTCTTCTACTCCGTTGTACTCGATCCGCAGCATCAAGTAAAATAAACAAGAGGTAATCTTTTCTTGTAAATGAAATGAAAAAGAAAAATTATTGCGCTAGCTTCAGTAGAGTCACAAAAAAAAAAACGAAGTTATAATTGCACTATATATGGGGCAAGATACAGGTTGCAATTGCACTTGGGGCACCCCACCTGGCCAGAGAGCTGGGTTGTATGCATTACCAAATCTGCAATTCGAAACTGTATCTTGGCCCGTAGTGCAATTATAGCTCACTCATTTTTGTGACTCCGGATCGATCCTGTGGTTGGGCGAGCGCACTCGCGGTGGTGCTCGGTTGCGTCATTCAGGGCATACTCACACTACTACGTTTTTGCGTATTTTTGGATGGAGCTGTGACCAGATACATCCAGGTATGGCGTGAATGCAGTCAGATACATTTGAGATACTGGTAGTATGAGTACGCCCTCAGTTTCGGCCTTCGGCGTGCACAGAAGAGCGCAGCCCCGCCCTTCAGGACATCCGGTAATTTCATCTTTCTTGGTAGTACGCATCTATCTCGTCCTCTCACTAGTCTATTTATAGTACGGGGGAACACCAACCAACCCGGATCTCTCCCCAGCCCACGGGGTAGGTTTGCACCACAGCTGTGGTGCGAGAGCAAGGCTGTACCAGTTCCTCGTCACGGTTTTTTTTTTTTGCTTTTCTATTATCACTTTTTTTTTATTACTGGAAGGCTACACAGATTAGCATGGCCCCTGCGCAAGGATGACTTGCATAGCTCGTTGGTAAGGCACGCAAGTGGCATTCAGGAGGTCTTGGGTTCAATCCCAAGTGGCCTAGGCCCTTGGTCCCCCCGAGTGCCATTGAGCAGCTACTGCTGATGTTCATGGGGGGAGGGGACCACCACCTGAGGGGAGGCGCAGTGACTGGCCCATCAAAGAAGCTCGGTCCTGATGCTACCGCCCGTATCGCCCACCTGCTGTAGCAGGGGTATCCCACCTGCTGGTGGGTGCAGCTCCCGCATGTTCCCTCGTTGGAAGCTTGAGCACCAAGGTGGCTGCTACGGGGTTCCCCGTAATACTGTAATCATAGATGCATCGCCATCTCTCTCTCTCTCTCTCTCTCTCTCTCCCCCTAGATGCATTGCCATGGGATCACGCACTTCTCCACGACGAAGCAGACTGCGTTGGCCCAGCACGATCTCCCAAGTTGCCCAACCCAAGGACGACCGCTCCAAGTTCCAACCCAACGACCACTGCACGGGGGGCTTGAGGAAATCGTGTCCCACCACAGAGTCCCAAGACCCACAGAGGTACCAGAAGCAGACCTGGTAAATAGTAGGAGGCGGCAGAAAAAAAAAAGAAAAAAAAGAAAAAAAAGAAACAACATAGCCAATGCGCAAAGCAGCAATCCGTGAACAGTGGAAGTGAATGTCAGATCGGCCGTGGCTGGCTGAAAATAAAGATGTGCACAAAGGAGGCCAACGTCCAAAAAATAAAATGGCAGGCTACAATTTAGAGGGCCTTCCTCAATTATTAGTGGAAGGCAGTGAGCGTCAACTGAAAGGCCGAACAGGCTCGGTACGAAATAAAAAAAGGGTTCATCGGCGGGGGTGCCAAACTGGCAGAACTTATGGCGAATCTTGAAGAATCTTCCATCTCAACAGGATTCTAGTCTTCTATGGGCGCAAGCGCTGCAAGTGGTTCCCACTACGGTTTGGTTGGCCTCTCGGGGCATGGATTTACCCCTTCCATGCAGCAGATGTCGCTGGGGGTGGGAATCAAATGCTCACCTTTGGGTTCATTGCCCACTGGCAGATGCAGTGTGGCTGTGTGGCTTCTCGGGGCATGGATTTACGCCTTACATGCAGGCTGATGCAGCAGATGTCGCTGGGGGTGGGAATCAAATGCTCACCTTTGGGTTCATTTCCCACTGGCAGATGCAGTGTGGCTGTGGTGGGCTACAATATGGACGAAATTAACGCAAGGTTCCTTTTCGTGGACAGATGATTGGGTACTATACTGTTCGCTCCCAAACTCGAATTCCACGTTTTCTGAGGGCTGGGGGTACGTTGCCTTGGCCTGCAAAGGTGCTATCATGCAGGTCATTTGGAAAGCAAGGAATTCGGCGGTTTTCAAGAATGAAGAAATCAGCATTCAGCAGCAACAGCACCAGATCAAGAACAGTATCCACCTGCTGATTCTGGCAGATTGGCAACGAGGGTTGAACCGACGAACCTTCATGGTAAAGGCAGATCTTGGTTTGCCAGAACCTGGGCCAGGGAGGATAAGTTTGCACATATCTCGCCAAAAGGCATAATGGAAGTGAACACCTGGTGGAAACCTCAGTAAATGGGAGAGTCTGCAGTGCCCGAGGGTAGGTGTCACAATAGGGCTGGTTGAGGAGGTTTGTCCAGGTTAGTGAAGTAGGGGGGGTGGCAGTAAGCAACGTCGATCCTCCCTGTGCCTCAGGTATTCAATTGATCTGGTTACATCTAAGCTGGTTCCTCGGACTTCCTCCAGATCCAAGGGATAATGCCACTGCTGGTTTGTGGAGCCTCCACGTTCCCTTTTTCACATGCGCTTCAAGGTGATTTTTTTGGAAAGTTTTTATTAGCACGGGATGCTGGACCCGGTTTCCAGTTAGATTAAGACTGTGATAAATCAGGCTCTCGATTTTAGCTTTGCTCGCAAGCTAAACTGGCTGAAGCTGCCAGGATAA